GCAGTGTACTTCAAGTGCTACAAAATATGAGAATCCTGGAGTACCGAAAAGTCCAGTGCGTTTCCCCATCCAGCTCCCAGCCAGTTTCCAGTCTTGGGGGGGCAAAGAACTTACCCTCTCATTGTGGCAGTCCCTGGCACAAGCAGGAATTTTTGTTTTAATTGCCTTCAGCAACGTGGTGTCTAAAGTGTTTGCTGAAATCTAAGCTGTTCAATAAAGCAACTGTGACTATGTTTCAAAATGTATTTTCCCATTTTTTAATAAAATTTAAACATGCATCTAAACATGGTGAGTGAACAGATGTCTTGGGAAGGCACTGTGTGTTTGGATGGTGCTTGGTGCTGTTTTTAGGACTTTGAGCAGCACAAATCCATTGTTTGGCACAGCACAGACGTGCTGCAGAGGATTGAAGCACAGTTGAAGTTACCAGGCTGTGTAGGCTCGCTCTCCGCATTTGTGTGTCACAGGTAACATCTGAGTTAAGTAGCTGACGCTTAAATATCAGTTGCCTGCACCTGACACCCCACGTGTGTTTCTAAAAAGAGGTAAATAAAATAATAATTATTGGAGAGGAAAAACAGTGGTGTTGGATTCTGACTTTGGAGAGAGAGTGCGTGGTTCTTAAGGGAGAAGACAGCACGGTTATGGATGTCTGTGGAAGAATGAATGGGGAAAAGAATGACAAGGAAAGAGGAAAACAAAAGAGGCTAGAGAAGAATGGGCTTAGTGAAGGGATAACATTTGAGGAGAGGAAAGATGAAGGTAGGTAGAGAGATTTTAGCTTGTGATCAGAAATTAAAACAAGGTAGGAAAAAGAAGGGGTGAAAAAAAATTCACTGAGAGCCACACCAGTGATTTTCAGGATAACCATACCATGAGAGGAATCAGTAGGGCTGCACAAGGCTTCTGTATGGATCTGTGCAATGAGTCCATTAGGAAAAGCATTGCCAGCAGGGTGAGGGAGGGATCCTGCCCATCTACTCACCCCTGGTGAGGCACATCAGGTGAGGCACAACCATTTCCGGGCTCCTCATTAAACAGAGATGTGGAACTCCTGGGGCGTGTCCAGCAGAGCGGAATGAGGATGATTTGGAGACTGGAGCATCTCTTGTGAGGAAAGGCTGAGGGAGCTGGGCCTGTTCAGCCTCGAGAAGAGATGTCTGAGGGGGGCTCACCAGTGTCTGTATCTGCAGGGAGGGTGTTGGGGTGGATCCAGGCCCTCCTCAGCGGTGCCGAGCACTAGGACACAGGGCAATGGGCAGAAACTGATGCACGGGAAGTTCCAGCTGAGTATGAGGAAGAACTTCCTTACTGTGCGGGTGACTGAGCGCTGGGATGGATTGCCCAGAGAGGTTGTGGAGTCTTCCTCACTGGAGATATTCCAGAACTGTCTGGACACAATCCTGTGCTGTGTGCTCTGGGATGACCCTGCTTGAGCAGGAGGTTGGACAGGATGACCCACTGTGGTCCCTTCCAGGCTTACCCATTCTGTGATTCTGTGATACGGTTGCATTAATGCGAGCCCGTGCTTTAGGCCAAGCTGCTGGCCTTTCTAGCACTTTCTTCCCTGTACATTTTCACCATCCTCCTGTTCCTTTCTTGCTGCTGTGCCATTTGTGTGGAAAGAGGCCCTTATTTTTCTGTCCATTGTTATGTATCATCACTCTTCTCTAGTGATCAAAGATGCCTCTAGGGTTTTTTTTTCTTTACAATTATCGGTTTCATAATCTGAGAATTACGTGGGTATTTTATGATAGATAGCATTTAGTCATTATAATTTTAGGTGAGTCTTACTAAGATGAAAGAGCAGAATTAATTGTAGAGGAAAAGAAGGAGAAAAGCAGAAGGAAATGAAATTACATAAATAACTAATATTTTTAGAAAGAGTGAGGAAAAGGGTGGTGGTAGGAAATGGAGACTCAAATCTATTTTTTTTTTTTTTTAATGGGAGTTAGAGAATGATAATGTCTGATAGCCAGCATAGCACAGGTCAAGCAATTTCAGCAAGTGTTCTGGCCCCTGTGATAAATTCTGTGATGAAGAGAATCACTTCTGTTTAAGGCTATGCAAGAGCTTTGGAGTTAAGCTGCAGATAGTAGGAAACATCCCCACAGCTAGATTAAGTTATGTACCATACAAATAATTTGTTGCTCAGTTATAACTTGCTTATCTGCAGCTTTATCTTGTTACGCTTTTTGTTATTGCCAGACTCTCTCTGGATCATAATTTGTAATGGTCTGCTCAGCTTCCTTCCATGTTCAACTGAACATAAAGTATCTTTGTAGCAGTTCTGATTATAAAGTCACTGTGCTGTCACTCGTTTCATTTTCTCTGTTTATTGATGAAGCAGTGGCAGAACATTTGTCCAATAATAGATCTGCAGAGGGAAATATTTTGCTGTGGTTTTAGGAAATCATTTTGCTGGTTTTAGCTGGGAAGGAATTCAACTGACAGGGGTTTGTCTCATTAGTCCCAGTGGAAGCCTGCCCAGCTAATGAGCTCCTGGAAGATCATGGCTCAGACAAGCTTAAATGATCCAGCCATGGTGCCTGTGCTGAGCATTTGCTCAACCAGAGCCAGGTGACAGCTCTCCCCACACTGCCAGAGCCCCTGGGAGCAGAGGGCTCTGCACAGCTGGAGGCAGGAAATGAGGCAGGGGAGCCACTGGCCTGGCTGAGGGGCCAAGCGGCTCTGGGGAGAGAGGGGCTCTCAGGGGTGGGGGGCACAGGCTGAACCAGCAAGGCCAGGCATGTTGAGGCAAAAGAAAGACAGACAGATGCTGTCCAGACAAGGGCATGTCCCGGCATTCAGTGGTGGTGACAGATTTTTACAGTAGTGGCTGTAAAAACTAGAGCACAGTTCTTTGAGGTTGTGTAGCAGAATCAAACTCCTGCTTGAGTTTCTCCTGGTGCAAAAACATCGCTGTGAAATGTGACCGAAACCTCGTGTGGGGTTGTTCTGCCCACAGAGTTGTGTCCTACTGTTTTTTGTGCTGGCTCAGGTGCTTGCTCTATCTAAAGTTTTCTAGCACTGCTGACGGAAAGCTGACAGTACCTGGTGGAATTTGTGCTTTTACCATCTGTCCTTTTCAGAGGAGAAGAAGAAATTACATTAATCTTTTCTAAAAACCACAAAGTCGAGAATTCAGAAGCTGTGATCTTCCAGGATTAATAAACTCAATATAAACTTGACATATTGTGTGCAGTGCAGGAAGAGCTTCTGTTTTCCTCTAGAGGATTCCTGTCTTCTCTTCTGCAGAGGATGCTTTGGAGAGGAATGAAAAGCAGCATGCTGCAGTATGACCCATGTTTCATTTGCTGTATAAATTGAAAGGTTTAGAGTTGATGAGGCTGGGGATTGCAGGAAGGAAAAAGGCATGGTCTCTAGATTCCCAAGCTGGATTTCATCCCTGCCATAAGCTCCCTCTATAAGCAATAATAATTTTCGGCATTGTGTCCCCATCGTGTTCTGAGATGCTTTTTTGAACCGTTGGGATGTAATCCGGTAGTCAGCTGCTTAAACCTTGTGTGAAGTCTGTCATGCTCAACAAACATGGAAGTATCAAATTCAGGATGTGCCGACAGACTTAATTTTGCCGCTTAGTAATTTTCCAGAATTTGAATTTGCACTGTTAACTGTCCTTGAATGCAGAGGGGTGATGTGTATGTGCTGTGGATCATGTATCTGGGTACTTAAGGACACGTACTGAGTATTTCTCAGGTAACTAAATCAGAAATGACAACAGAAATCTGTTGAAGCAGCAGCTTGATTGCTCCTAAGGATTCTATAGGTAACTTCTTATTATGCTGTTTGGGCAAAAATCTAAGTAAAAGGATCAACTTCTGTGCAAGGCTCACAGTTTGTTGTACCTTTTATGGAAATTAATTTTAGGTCCTGTTAAGTAGTACTTGTTAAAACTTGTTAAAACCTTCCTCTTGCATACAGAGCCTTCCCTGTCAACTGGTTGCTCTTCAGGGAAGTGAAGAAGCATTCATTGCTGTAGAAATATGTGCAGTGAAAATAGAGATTGCTGCCTGGGCTGATGTGTTGGACAGCTTTAGTGATGGCCAGACACACCTTCAGTTGCACTGCCTGTGAGCTGGAGAGTGAGTTCAGGAAGCTCAGACATGCTTCTGTTGTGTTTGTGAAGAGCTTTTCCCAACACCTTTTTTTTGTTTTCAAAACTTTCGAGAGATATTTATTATTTTTATTAGGTATAAAGGTGACAGTAATCAAGCTTAGACTTCAGGTTAATGCAGTGACACTAGATCTCATTTTGATTAGACAGGCATGGGAAAAATGAGAATTGTTTTTATCAGCTTTGCCAGTTGAGCATCTGGTGATGCCTGGGGGGTGAGTAGCATAGTGCATTGAAAATTAATTGACTATCAACTTCACATTGCTCATTCAGAGCCCTACAAATGTTTATTATTCACAATGTGTGGCATCCTTCCAGCTGTTGGACAGACCACACTGAGATCACAGTGCGGAAGGCACAGTAAGTTAAAAGTCACAAAGGATTAAGTCTGCTTTCTGTTCCACATCCCATCTCAGACTTGATCTTTGCTCTGCCCAAAGTCTCTACTATCCCTTTACTTTTCAGTGAATTAGCATTTGATCAACTTCAATTTTTACATCCTTGTGTAGAAATAACTAAATGGCTTTATTTACCAGCTGTTGTGTAGTTTTTTTCATTACTGAGTGGAGTTTTTGGATGGAGACATGTTATAGTGACTGACACTCATTACAGATTTTGGGCTTCTGCTTTCTTAGTGTGGACCTTTCTGCATGGCAGCAGTTTTCTGCAAACTAATATGTACTCTAGAACTATGTTTCTGCATTAAATGTATCACATTTTTATCATCTGTCTCCTTTGAGGCCAGCAGCAAGTGGAAGCAGGCTGATATGCACCAGGGGTGTGTGTGTTACTGGTTAGCTTCATTCCTGCCTTGGTATCATGGACAAGAACCTGACTTCTCCATCTTCTCCTTTCTCTGCAGGTATTGAGAACCTGCCATTTGAATTACAGAGAAACTTCCAGCTCATGCGAGATCTGGATCAGAGGACAGAAGGTGAGGGTTGGAGATGGTTTTGTTGCCAAGACAAAGAGTACATAACCTGACCAGCTTTGCTTTGCCTTTGTCATGGGGATCTCCAGGCAGGGGAGGAGGCTTGGAGCAGCTCCATTCAGTCTCTCCTCATGGAGGGCCCTGTATGTGTGGTGTTCGTATATTTAATGGTTCACTTGTTTCAGACCTCAAGTCAGAGATCGATAAGTTGGCCACGGAGTATATCAGCAATGCACGGACTCTGTCCTCGGAGGAAAAACTGGGACTTCTCAAGCAAATCCAGGAGGCCTATGGAAAGTGCAAGGAATTTGGGGACGACAAAGTTCAGCTGGCTATGCAGACCTACGAGATGGTATGAAGGGAAGTGTCTTGTGCTTATCGTGTGAACACCTGAACTAAAACCACCCATCTCGGAAGGCCCTGATCTCTCATTTTTAGGCCATTCCCACTCTTGCTCTTCAGCTCTTTAGTGCAAGCCCCCTGCTTCTTTGTTCCCTCTTTGTCCTCTCTTTGCCTTCCTGGGCTCTGTCCTGGGGTAAACCCTGGTCACTGCTGTCTTTGCAGGTTGATAAGCACATCCGGCGGTTGGACACAGATCTCGCTCGCTTTGAAGCAGACCTGAAGGAGAAGCAGATAGAGTCGAGTGACTATGACAGTTCTTCCAGCAAGGGCAAGAAGAGTGAGTACCACCACTGGGCTGCAGATTGATTCAGGAGGCAGCCAAGTGACTGTGGAAGTGGTGGGGATGAAGGCAGGCACTGGAGTGGTGCAGATCAAAGACTGTTGCGCTGGAGTCTGAAGGACAGGTAAAAAGATGGTGACCTGGGCTCTTCTTGTGTGAGCTTATTCAAGGCCGCTAGATAAATTAAGGTGGGATGCAGGACCCAAAGCCAATACACATTCCAAAGAAGGAGTGTATTTTAGTGCTGCAGAGGTTGTCACTGTATGTCAGGTGTATGTTTTGGTGGCGTGACAGATTCAACACCTTTTTCTCTTCTTACCAGAGGGCCGAGCCCAGAAAGAGAAAAAAGCTGCCCGTGCTCGCTCTAAAGGGAAAAACTCTGATGAGGAAGCACCAAAAACTGCCCAAAAGAAGTTGAAGCTTGTCCGCACGTAAGTGTTTAAGGGACTTGAGGAAATGAGAAGCAGCACTAGAAATTAGATCAAGGCAGGCCTAGCCAGGCTTCCCTGAGATCGCCAAACTGGAACTGTGTGTCTTCTGTCCCTTCTTGGGGAGCAAGAGGAAGAAAATGTTTTTATTCTTTAAGGGGAGTGTGGGTTGAAGGGGAAGGCAGGTCCCATTGGGTTTATGTACTTAAATGAGAGAAGTATCTGTCTCTGGCAAACAAGGGCACTGCTGTGGCACACATGAAGGTACTCAGAGCCAGTTACTTTGCTGACTTACTTTGTTCTTGTCCTGCAGTAGCACAGAGTATGGGATGCCTTCCGTCACCTTTGGAAATGTGCACCCCTCGGATGTACTGGATATGCCCGTGGACCCCAATGAGCCCACTTACTGCCTCTGCCACCAGGTCTCCTATGGGGAGATGATTGGCTGTGACAACCCTGATGTAAGAGCCTGCACGTGGTGGGAAGGGGGGGAGTGGAGGGGAGATGGAGTCCTGCTTGGCTGGGGCCTGAGCCAGCAAGCCATGCCAAGGAGAGGGCTTACCTCAGGTAGTTGGGATGGGCAGAGGTGTGGCTGGCAATGACCTCTGAAGTGCCTCTTTCTTCAGTTTTCCTTAAAATGTTTTCTTGTCCCTAAACTTAGCAAGGGAGAAGGGGCATTCTCCTTGCTAACAGTGTGTAGGTTGGGTGTGAGTATTCAATCCTTGATCACTGCTAGGGATTTAGGAGTTTGTGATTAAATGCTGGGAAGCTCTGGTAGCCCAGAAGCAACAATTTCAAAAGGAAACTGCTCTTTAACTGGCTGCTCTTCATCCCAACAGTGTTCCATTGAATGGTTTCATTTTGCCTGTGTGGGTCTGACAACAAAACCAAGAGGAAAATGGTGAGTGAAGCAACCTGGGGGGCCCCTTGGCTTTTGGAAAGGGGAGGTCCTAGGTTGCAGGGGGAAAAGTACTATATGTACACACTTAGAAGATATCATTAAAAGGAAAACATGAATTAAGATTTTGTTGGGGACCTTGGAAAATGTCTTTTGGGACAATGCACTTGAGGCTCATGTCATGCCCTAAATGTTAGCTTTGTGCTTCCCTTTCTAATAGGTTCTGCCCTCGCTGTTCCCAGGAGAGGAAGAAGAAGTAAATTCACATGAGACCTCAGTACTGCTGCAGGAGCTCTCTTCCCCCTGCCAGGGCCTCGTCCCAGTTCCCCCAGCCCTTGGGGCCTTGGCTGAAGGGAAGTCTTGCCCTGTTTGTGGTTTGGGCCATCCCTGGAATGGTGTGTACCCTCACGGTGGTTCCTGTGTGTTCTGTATCCCTGGTTGCTTCTGAGTCCTTAAGGGAGGCCCTCTCTGTGTACTGTTCCAAACAGGTCTCTGAACCTCAAAGGGAATGAATGAGGGCACCAGGGTAGCCACCAGATTCCCAGGGATTCAGGTAGCCCCTGATTTTCCTTGGCTTTCCTTCAGCCTCCTCAGAGTTCATTGCCTATTCTCTGCTTAGAGAACAAGGCTATGGGATGGGGGAAGGAAAGGAGGTAAGTCTTCAGCATTTTAGGTCATTCATTTTCCTGGATCTTTTTCAGGAGAGAGGGAGTAACCAGGCTACTTCTTAATCTAGTGGGCTGGTTGAGAGACTGAAAACCTGATGTGCTCCCTGTCTTTAACCATTCCACTGCTGGCTTTGAGCAGCCTCTTTTGTTGGGGAGAGGAGGAGGCAGAGGGAGTGTTTAGAGCTAGCTTTGTCTCTCTTATTCCTGGGGTAAACCTGCTGGTCTGGGAAGCACACTGTGTGAAGGAGGAAGAATTTCTGACCACGTGGGGAGAAACGGCTTGATCCAGTCTGTCTTCCGGCTTCAAAATTCTGCCTTCCTCTTGTGTAGTGGTGCTTCTCCATTATGTTGATGGTGGGAAGTTTGGGGATTCAGATCCCACTTGTATGATACAGAATTAAATAAAATTCATTGAAACAAGTACTCTGTTTGCCTTGACATCACCTCCAAAATAAACTGCGGCAATTGGTCTCTCTAGTTTTTCTTTCTCTCTTAGCTCTGCTTTTATTGTAAGTGGTGAATGTGGTGCAGCTTTTTCATGCAGCAGTCCTGTCACTAAGAAGTGACATTCTGCGTAAGTCAGGTTTGAAAATGTACCTAATGTACTTGAAGAAAGCTACTGAGCTTTCTGGTGGCTGTGAAAAATACCTGCCCCTGCAGTCATGCCCTCACAAGAAGGTGAAGATTCATTCCCACTATTGTTTGATCATTTTCTTCAGTTGTCTTCTCTTAAATGGCAAAGGCCAACCCTCACTGCCTGCTGGGCAGCACAGCTGAGAAAATAAGCCATCAGGACAAACCACATGTCTCCAAGAAGGTGGATAGGTTTTCCAGACACCCTGATAGCTTGCTTCCCAGGAAGTCACAATCACCTTGTTGGCAGAAACTCTGGCTGCTGTTACTAACATAACATTAAGCTCCAAAACAATTCCTGAAGATCTGAAGGTCTGTAGTGTCTGCAGGTAACTGAGGAAATGGCCCTACTGAAACTCCTCTCTATCAATTCCATTGGCACAGCCTGGAGACTGACAAACCAAGTCTTCTTCCTCCTTGTGGTCTGCTCCTCAGGAAGGTTTAAGCCTTTTACCTGAAACATGGAACATTTTCCTCACCCAGATAACTTGTATGAGGATCCATGGAAGATTTTGCTTGTTTAGTTATGAAGCCAAAGCTCTGCTCAGGTTCAGAGGACCATGTGGGTTAAGATCAGTGCTACTCCCACTTTGTCATTGCACAGGGACCCTGGCAGCCATCAGCTCAGGAGCTGGTGTTTTCTGTTCAGGTGAGTTAGCGCTGAGTCAGTCTTCGCTTTGGCCTCGAGAAAGGATGTTCATTCTGTTTTTCTGTTCATACCCAGGCTGTGGCTTATATGGTTTGTGGTACCCCTGCCACAGTCTGAATCTCAGTCCCCAGATTGTATTACACCACTTCCTGGGGCTTCCTTTCTTAAACAGAGATGAAGCAAATTCTGGAAGGTGTTGGCTGCATCTCCGGTATGGTTTTAGTAGCAGGGAGACTCTCCCATGATCCAGTGGGTGAGCAGGCTGTGGCAGAACTGATCTCTTCAGCTGAGGGTTAGTCAGACATCAACTGGTGCTCAGCTGACAGAAGAAATGGTGGATATGGCCTGAACTGGAAAATGGGCTTTGGGCAGAGTGCAGGGGTGATGAAGGATGGAAACTGCTCCAAGCAGCTTGGTTTTGAGGGATACGACATGGGATTTAATGGCCAGCATTAGCGGCAAGCTGTCCAGGAACTGTGGGCCAGAGAGGTGTTCGAAGCACGAGCCAGCAGCAAGGAGCATTCCAGGGACTTCTGCTGCCACTGAGGGAATGCTCTGACCAAAATTTGGATAAAACCTGGTCATTTTTAAATGGCTTGCAAGTATAAATGTAAATGAAAGCACATTAAAAGCTAACCTTGGAAGAGAAGGAATAAGGGCAGTAGCTGTGCCATATTTAATCACCAGAGGAGGAAAAGAACCGGTAGAAGTTAGAAAATACAAAGTACAAAAATGAAGCCAGTGGGAACAAAGCCTGTAAGTGACAAGGCTGGAAACATGAGCAGCTTTTTTTAGAATGCCTTTTGTTTATGACATAATTGAACATGGCACTTGTCCATTACCGACTGCAGATAGCAGAATTGTTTGTAATGAGAGGAGGGGAAGTGTTCTGTAAATATTTATTCTGTGTTGGTGCTGGTGTCATATGGGGATGGTGTACTTCCTAGGCAAACAGTAAAGAAGGGTTCTAAATGGCACCTCTTGGGGCAAAGACTTTTTTGATCATCAGTCCTCAATAAATGGTGTTTGTCATCCTGTGAAAGCCACCCGGAGGCATCTGCGGGCTGATCTCTGTCAGAGTCAGGACTGCTTGGGAAAACCTACAAGGCTGGAAAAGAGCCAGCTCTGTTCTGATCCTTAATGATGTCAAGAAGGCTGCCACAACAGTCCAGATGTGAAATACTGGAACAGCGGGGAAGTAAATTGCTTCTCTCTAAAACAAGCAAGAAGTCCAGGTCAACAAAATAAAATCAGTTTGAAGAGAAGTAGCCAAAAAAAAATCTGTCAAAAATTGCTTGGATTTTTTTTATTAAGATCCTTGTTAATAGTTACCTGGATCACTGTAGTGGTAATGGGATCTGAGAAGTTTACTTCTCCTAGAATTGAAGTGCTTAAAGCAGGGATATACTCAGTTAAAGTAATCATGAACTCCATAACAGAACTGGCTAGCTTGCAGATTTCCTGGAACAGCTGTCAGTGCAACATAAACACTTTCTAAAACGGTGCTGGAGAAATTGCCCCTTTAGAGTGATTGGAAATATCCTAGCTGATGAGTGAAGTCAAGTCTGAGTTTCAGCAGGCTGGAGCCATGGAGCGTGACAAGAGGGAAGAATTTTGCAGCCTTGTTAAGCCCATTTATTAATAATAATTGGTCATGCACACAAACGACCAATTTATCTTGCCCAGTTTGATTGCCCCATCTGTGGGCATCATTCCCGAGCAGCTGGGCAAATCTGCTGACAAGGATGTTCAGCAAAGTATTCCCCTTTCCAGCGAGCGGACGTGCTCCCCAGGCTCCCATCCCTCAGGCTCTGCCACCGCCGTGTCCATTGCATGATGTGCATGGAAACCATCCCAGCCATCGCCTTCCATCAGTGGGACCACTTTCCTCTCCTGCTTTTCACTTAACTCACCCCACAGCTCAGCGACACCCAGCCCTTCTTAAAGCACTCTTAAAGTATTACTTACTTAACCACCTCTCGGAGCTGGGTGGTGGACACTCTCTCACCATCATGTATATTCAATTCAAAGGTGGCCCAAATCGGCACAGAGGTCTCAAGCTGGCAGTGGAAGACATTCCCAAGAGACAGCTTGCTCATACAGACTGAAAATGAGCCCATCTCCTCCCAGATCTGGCTGGTTTGAAAACTTCTGAGCTGTTCTGCTTTTTATAATCAACTGCAGCTCTATCTTCTCCCTGCCAATGCGAAGACATTGAGAGCCTGAGTGGCAAGATCTGCTCTAAAGATCTAGCAGTAGGCAAGGGACAATGCAGCACTGAAAGAGTTAAAGACTAGAAGAAATAGAAGGAAATTAAATGTCCTACCTTTCTTTCCAAAGACAACTGAAGGAAGTTTCTCCAACTTTACTTCCTATCAGTTACAGTATCAGAAGAAATATAGCTGTTTTTATCCAATAAAATGAATTTCATTTATAAAAATAGTCAAACATCTTGATTAATTTATGCTAATTTATGTTTATTTCTCTGAATATATAAAAGAAACTAGGAGTGTTAGTCTTAAAAAAGCACATTTGTGCCCAAGGCTTAAGGACAGGCAAAGCTGTGACAAACACTAAGCTCCTACATTTTGGTGTGAAAGAAATGTTCAGCAAGGTGTCCACTTTGGTCTGTTTTGCAGGTGTGCAATTTCATTTCAGTGGGCTGGGTTGCTACCACTGAAGAAACAACTCATTCAAAACTGAAACCCCATCTGGGAGTAGGAAAGGAATTATTTTTTACACATTGACAACAAGCAAGGAAAAGAAGTGTGACCCTGAGATTTCCTTGTTCTGAAAGCCTGAATGATGCAGTCATTGGAAGAGCCCATTTACTCACCACAGAAAGACTGAGGTGGGAAGAAGTCTCTCTGGAGCTTTGTAGTCCAAGCCCCCGCTCACATTAAGGGTAAAATTGTGGTTGGATCAGCTTGTTCTTGCATGAAACAAACCTGCCTAAAAAGACTACAGCAGTTTGTTCAAGCAGGCTTTTATGTATCCACTCTGTTTTAGTTTGTATTAATAATTCAAGAAACCATTTTTAAATGCTGTTTTTGCAATCAATTAAATATTCCATTTTCTAAATGTCAAGTAAAAAATGCTTCATTCACTATTTCCTAACAAAATAAAATTTAAATTAAGTATTTGAATTAATGCACGTTATAACTGTGCAGTGCTTGTACAAATGTGAATAGATTAACATATCTACCAGGTTAAAAAGAGTGCCAATTTTAATGTAAAGTCTATATTTATCAGCATATTCACATAGCTCTTCGGTAAACCCACTGAAAATAAAGTACAAATGCAGAATGAAGATGATTTAACCTGTGAATAAAGCCAGCAATTCAGAGAATTTTGGTTTGAATCAGAATGCTCCCAGGTGCTTTTGTCTGTGGAGATGGGCATCTGTGCCTTGCTCTGCATGGGCTGGTACCTACAGCCCTTCCCACGGGGTGAAGGTGTCCAGCTCTGGGATCTTGCAGTAGCGTTTGGAAGTGTTAGTGCTGGACTGGAAGGGGGTCTTCGCTTGTCTGCTGTGTGATGGCTCTGAGGTTCCTTGGCAGGGCTGTCCCCCCTGCTGAGAGGCTCCTCTGCCCTGTCCAGCTCCTTGAGTGAACAGAGTGAGTGTCCCCCTCCTCTACCCGCTCCTTTAGGTGTGTGTTTTACTAAATGGAGGTACCACACCTTCCTTTGGTGCACTGTGAGGAATGCACAACCTGGCGTGTCTCAGGGGCTCTGTCAGCCCCTTCCTGAGACCACCCCAACATCTACACAGAACTGCTCATGGCCTCCTCCCTAAGCAGCCTGCTCTTTCATTTCTGGCAACACACCTGCCAGGTGGCTTTGGAAGCATTTTCTATCATCTCTGCTTACATTTCAAGTTACTTAAGACACTTGCTTTCTGAGGATGCTGCTTGACAAGCCACTGGAATTCACACCTAATCTTCGTGGCCTCCATCTTTATGGGGTTTGGAGCTGACCAGACATCCTCTCCCTGCCCCAAACCCCTCAGTTTAACTCACTGTGCTGACACTGGGTCTGTGAGCCACGGTCCTGGAGTTTCCAAGAGGTTTTCCGTCATTGCTGCTGCTGGTGGTGTTTGTGGTCATGCAGCATGGAAAATGCTGAGAAATAGCCAAAGTATCTGAGACAACAACAAGGAAGAGGAGCTCATCTTCTGAAGGGTGGTCCCTCACAAACCAGACAGGCTCTTACAAAGCTCAGGGTTGACATGCAATTGGATATCAACATGGAAAACATCACTCCAGCGAGTTCTTGCCCCGCTGTTGCATGTCTCTGCTGCTGGCTCAGGCACTCTGTAGGCCTGGGGGTCCCAGCTGGCACTGGAACAGTGGCTGCAGGAAACTCCACTGTGTGGCAGCCCTGAAAACAAGGGTGCAAATCTGCCTCACTGCAAAAATTACACGGCTTGTAATGTGTCATTGAAGGTAGGGCCTTAAAGGTGCCAAGTGAACTCTCAGAAATCAGAAAATGCTGGAATTAACATTACCCCCATGCTCCGCATTGCTGACAACTATAATTGCTTGATGCAGCAGTAGTGAGTAGACTTCCCCCAGCCTGCAGCATTGATGCATCGTGTACAAGTCACTGTTCCCTCCTCTTCCCTCCCCCAGAGATGATTTTTGTTTTGCAAAGACTTGAAATGCAGGTGTCCCACAGCCAGCTGGCACACACCTCATCAAACAGCACAGCAGTGCCTCCTGCTCTCGCAGCCTCCCAACCCTGCTGGGCACATGCCAGAGACTCACTGGTTTCTGCAGAGTCCACTAGTGGACTGTGAGTTTTCTGAAGGATTCTGACAACATGAACCAAGTCCAGGATGTTCCACAGTGCATGAAGAGTAGCCAACGTCCTCACATCTGTAACCACCTTTCCAAATAAGCAGTAGCTCCCCACAGGCATTGCTACCAGAGCCCCAACCAAGGGGGACTCCTTTGACAGGTCCCCCTTCTTTTGCATTCATTCTTGTCTCCTGTTCTCATTTGCCATAAATCCCTTGCTGGCACATGAAGACACAGGCAGTGTAGCCAGCACCTGCCAGATATCAATAACACTGTGTGGCATTTCCCAGAGAAGCTGTGGGTGCTCCATCCCTGGCAGTGTTCAAGGCCAGGTTGGATGGGGCCCTGAGCAGCCTGGTCTAGTGGGAGGTGTCCCTGCCCATGGCAGGGGGGTTAGGATTGGATGATCTTTAAGCTCTCTTCCAACCCAAACCATTCTATGATTCTGTGATTCTGTGACATGCCACATCGGTTTGCTTTCCTTAGTCCCACATTTCCATCAGCCAGTGAGGTCAGCGCTGAACTTCTCTGGGAAGCTGCTCAGCCAGGGTGACAGAGCTCAGCTTTGGCTCTTTTCCTGCAGAGAAGTGGAGGTGATTAACACAGCTAGGGAGCTGAAGGCCGTGCAATTGTCTAAAATCAGCTAATAAGTAATATGTCTCAAGCTAAGTAATGCAAGACTAGGAGCTGCCAAAAATATGCAAGCTCCAGCAGTGTTGCCTGTTCTAATACGAGTATCGAGAGCTAGCTGGAAAAACTCTCCTGATCATTGTTTCTCTAAAGAGCTGAAAAAACATTCAAAATTCAGTGCTGCTTTTAAATGGCCAGGCTTCAAGCTTCTCAGAAACGCTACTTTCCAACAAGACATCTTAGAGCAAAGTACAGCTCGTCTCCTGCCAGGCCCCGCAGAGCTACGTGCCGCCACCGCCACCAGACACCTCTTGAACTGCGAGCTTTCACCCTGAGAGCCTGCATGGCCACAGGGCATGATGTGCCAGCCCTGCAGCGGCAGCCGGTGCATCAGCAGAGCCGCTGGAATCTCCCCGGATCTGCGGCAGGAGCGGCTCCTGCAGCAGAACCCCGCTGCGAGCTCCGGAACCCGGCCCCGCTCTGCCCGCAGCTCCTCCTGGGCTCCGCCCGGGAGCCGCTCCGCAGAGCCGGGGGTGACGGGGGGGCTCTGCTGGGGCCCCCCGACTTCTGCTCACGCCTGCAGCTCCCGGGGCTGCTGTGCCAAGCGTTTTCCTGCCAGCTGCTCAGCCGTGCTGCTTGCGGCCGTGTCTGTGCCTGTGGAAGCTGTGGCAGGCACCGGGGATGCTGTGTCCGTGCCCTGCGCTTCAGGTGTCCCAGCGTTAGGAAATGGGCACGGCTGCGGATCCCCCTCCAAGTCAGTCCTTAGGGCTCTGGGCACTTCTGCTCTGATAGTCCCTTTTTGCTGGCAGCATTATTCCTGCTTTTTTCCTGGGAAGGCTTTGCAGAGCAGAGAGAGGTGCTGAGGGCACCTGTGCCAGATGCGGAGGAAGAGCAGCTGCTGCTCCCTTGACTCCCCGGGAGCTCAGAAAGTGCTGTGTCTGCCTGGGAGGGATCAAACCAGCTTCCCGACACATCCTGAAGCAAGCCGGTGCTGGGACGCTCCTGGGAAGGCATGGGGTGCTTCTCAAACCCCTGCAGATGGAACAGATGCTGCCTCCTTTCCCCCTCGTGAAACAATTTGGGCTTTAAGATACCCCATAGGTACCACTTTTGGAGTGCCCCCAGCCTCAGATCAGCCTGGCCAGACCTCAAATGCTGTTGTGGGTCGTTCCCAGCCACCAGAGTGTCCCCAGAGAGAGGGAGAAGCTCCCAGTTTGGCTCCCGCTCCCTTGTCCCCATGAGCCTGGCGCGTCCCCTCCCTGGGGGCGCCCACAGCTCCGGCTGGCCCCACCGCGACACCGGCCCCGGGTTCCGATTGCGGTGCCGTGGCCAGGGAATGGTTCCACGGTTGCCAAGGGCAGAAGCCGAGCGCTCAGACTTGCCGCCCTGGCCTGCTCGGTGTGCGAGGGACTCCCAGCCGGCCACCGAGCAGCTCCATGATGCTGCAGCCCGTGGCACACACATCGCGGCTCCTCTGGCTGCTGAGTAAGTGACCGCCCCGGCAGGGCCACCTCAGGGCCTGGGGCTGGAGCCGCTGTTCTGCTGCTGCTGCCGCACCCTGTCTGTCACCAGAGCCGTGTCAGGGGCTTGGGGTGGGGACGGTGCGGAGGCAGCAGGAGAGGGGGCTCAGCTGGAGGCAAAGAGGGGAGGGAGGAGATGGAGGGATGTCCCCCTGGACAGGGATGTGTGCATAGCACGGTGCAGGGGGCAGGGGAGCCACCACCACTGTGGGTGCCTCTGGAGGCTGGGACTTTTGAGGGGAAAAATAAAAAAAAGCACATCAATACCCTCCCCCTATCCCCCCCAAAAAACCCAAACACAAAAAAACCCAAAAAACCAGAAAACACCAAACCCACAAAAAAACTCAACCTCCCCCCACAAAACACACATATAAAAAGGAAACAACACAACCAAAACAAAAACGCTTCCCCCCAATCCAAACCAAGCTCAAAATAAAATCTGACTTTTAAAGGGTTTTTTTGTTTGTTTTTTCTTTCCTCTGTATTCTTTTTCCCCCCTTTTCCCTGGGCCTCCTGGTTACCCCAGCACCCTGCAGGCAGGGGTGATGGAGGGAGACTTCAGGCCGGCATCCGAAGCGTTTGTCCCAGCACTCTGTGCCAGCAGGCAGGAGCAGGCCAGCCTGCTCCTTCATTTCCACCCGCTCAGGTGGGCAGGGACAGCCCAGCCCACGGCCCGTGTTTGTCCCGCAGGTGTGCTGAGCTTGCCGGCGGCCGCTGCGGCTCCGCCGGTGCTGCCGGTGCCGCCGGTGCCGGGCAGCCCGCTGTCGGACAGGGAGTACCAGCAGTTCTTCGCCAAGCTGCACCCGCCCTGGCAGGCAAACATGTTCTGCCTGCTGCGCCAGGCCTACGGCTGCCTCAACCACGACATCCTGCGCCTGGACCAGGAGGAGAACCACGGAGAAATCCCCGAAGGTAAGGGCATCACCAGGCTCAGAGGAGCACGTGGACCCGGCTGGAGCTGCCCCAAAATGCCACAGGATTGTGGGAATGGGATGGGTTGGGTTGGTCAATATAGCCCAAAAAGCAGCTTGGGGCAGGCACTGGCCTGACTAGAGCACACTGGTTTTTGTGGCCTCTCTGAGCATCCCTTTCAGTGTTGCACCACTCTCCTGGAGAAAAAACAAACCTTTTCCCCAAAGGGCAGCCCTAACCTAAGCACGGTTTTCCCCCCACTCCATGTGTTGTCTGGCACCACCAAAAAGGGTTTGTTCTCTTGTAAGGTTTCCTTCAAGCCCCTGTGGGCTGCTGTGACTCCTCCTCTTCACCCAGCTGAGCAAGCACAGCTGTCCCAGCCTCTCTTTACAGGTCATGGGGCAGAAAAGCCACAGCCACTCCAGTGGCCCTTCCTTTCTCCACATCTCTGTTGGTGGGGTGGCAGGAGGAAAAACTGGCCACAGTCTTCTCAAGCTCAGTGCAGCTCCTCATCTCTTACCAGCTCCTTCCAGCTTCATCTGAGGGTTAATGCAGAATCTTGGCTCATGGGCTCTCGTAGGTCTTTAAGAAAACTTGAGATGATAAGCTGCCTTTTTAAGTGTTTAACATTTCAGGAGCCAAGAAACATCCCGGTTCAGAAAGCACCATAGCAACAGCACCCTTCAGATCTCTGCAGTCATATTTTCCCTGCACCCCTGCATCAGAGAATTTAAGTGGTATAATTATATCTGTGCAGCTGAAAAACTTGGGACTACTTCTGTTGTATTTTTCTTCAGAGGAAAAAAAAATAGAGGCAATTTTCTCATAAAAAATATGTCTTTATATTTAGATATGAACGTCAGTGAGCTGAATGATCAGCCAACTGCTTATTTGGACTGCAGCTTGAGGGCAACTATTTCTTGCTGGTTTCTGCAGCTGTGTTGGGGGAACGAGTCCCACCCCACATCACCAGACCCAGGGATGGGTCCTGTGCTCTTCATCCACTTTTGGGCACCTGAAATCCACTGTGCATGGGTGCACCCACAGTCTGTCCCTAGTTTCTCTCCTCGTGGTGCCCAATTCCCCAGCACTGCTCTTTGTCATGTCCAGCCACACTCCTATTGCTGCTGCCTTCAGAGACTCACTTGTCAGGAGCAGAAGCATCTGGAAGTGCCAGAAGATGGGACAGTTTTGCAGGCTCTTCCCCCTCTTTTCTCCCATCCCTCAGCCTAACACACCTATCCAGCAGAATTTATTCCCCTTTGTGTTACATTTTTTTCCAGTTTGGGGGATATTTTGGCACATTTCAGCCAGCCTGAGAGGTGGAACAGATGTGGCAGAGTGTGTGCCCTCTCTTGTTTAGCCTCTGCTCTCCTCACAGAGCTATGGCAGTGCTGTCTACACTCAGATACGAGCATTAATTGTGCCCATTCAGGTGTGGTGCTGAGGAAGGCAATCATTTTAGCTTTGAACAAAGGAGAGTGTGAGGATCTGGAGTGCTCCCTACAATATCTTGTGCTTTAAACAAGGGATGGGGTTCTGGAGTTTTCCTTACAAGTTGGGCGTTTTTCTGGGCTGGGATCCTGGTGTACATCTGAAATTCTGCTTTTGATGGCACAGCTGTTTGCTCAGCACAAGAAATGAGCACAGAGTAAAGGATTCCTGAGCAATATCAGGAGAGCAGTGCCCTCCCTCTGAGCCAGCACTTCCCCTGTTCTCACAAGGCTCTCTGTACCAGCCTGGCCATGCACTTCTAGAGCAGAGGCAGCACAAGATCACCCAATTCTTCAGCATTTTCTGCTCTCCTGCACACCCTTGGCTTTCCTGCAATTGCTGCAAGAGCTGTGTCCCTGGAGCCAGCATGCTGGCAGTGCTGGTCAAGATTGCAGAGTGTGTGTGTGTACAGGCACAGGCTTTGCCAGCAGCATCCTGGCCCCATGGACCCTCCTCCATCCCCTGCAAGGCTGGAATCAATGTCAAACTATATTACCCTGAAGAATTTGTCTCCTCTAGAGCCATCTGCCTGGAGAAGCTGTGGCAGCCCCATCCCTGACCCAACAAGACCAGGCTGGGTGGGCCTTTGAACAACCTGGTCCAGTGGAAGGAGCCCCTGCCCATGGCAGGGGACTTGGAACTTGATGGTCTATAAAGACCCTTCCAAACCAAACCAAACCAAACCAAACCAAACCAAACCAAACCAAACCAAACCAAACCAATCCAAACCATTCTCTGATTCTCTGGTGCTCCCAGGCCTGGTCTGGTCATCTTTTTAACCTTCTATGTCACTACTTGGCTTTTTTCTCTTTTTTAAACCCAGCAAGAACTAATAACAAAAGCATCAGATTCTGGAAACAGGAAGTTTGTGTCACTGTCATAGGGAAGATAACTGTATGAAAAAGGGCAGAAGGATAAAGTGAAACCCTCAGGGGGCTGGAGGGAAAAGGGATGTGGTGCCTGGAATGGAGAGCTCTAACATCCCAGGGCTGTGATCTCCACCTGGGGGCACACAGCTTGGACTTGTCCTGCATCCACAAGCTGCCACCTGAGAGGGTCCCCATCTCTTGGTGCACCCAGGCCTGCCTCCATCCCACATCTCTGTCTCTAGGGCCGATCTGCACTGAATTTCCAGAGGTGGTGCAGTTCCAGACCTTCTGCCAGTTTGCCCAGTATCGCTGCCTCAAACAGCAGTTCTTCGTCAAGGTAAGGGCTGGGATGTGGGGAGTATCTCTTGGGAAATGGCAGGTGAGGAGGAAGGGAAGATAACACAGTGAGAGTTGTGCTTCTCCCTCTCTCCTCCACACAGCGAGTCCCATGTTTGGGTTGGTCTCTAACAAACCCTTTCCCGATGGAGCCATCCAGCACCCCAGACTCCTCGGCAGCGGACAGAGGCTCCCCTGTCACGCAAGGTATGGCTGAACTGAGCTGTGCTGGGCACCCCTGCTCACCTGCTGCTCTCCTGTAGCTGCTCTCCACCCCTGCAGCTTTCTGTCTGGCCTCCAAAAGCCACCCTCGGCCGCTCCATCCCTCTGTCTCACCACTCAGAAGAGGGCTTTTCTGTCACCTGCTGATGCCCTGCTGCAGGACAATGTGGAAGGCCTTCTCCAGTTCTCTCGTGCTCTGTTAGGTCAGAAACCATGGCAGACAAAGCACCCCACAGCCACGCCAAAGGTGCCCACACCCCGGCAGAAGAGCAGGACTACGCGCCCACCGACTCCCTGGGCTGCCACCTCACCTTCCAGGGTGGAATCCCCGGAGGAGCAAAGCCTGAGGAAAAGCATCTGGCAGCTGATCCATTCAGCCCTCTCCTTGGATGCGTCCTTGGAGACCAAGAACTCCTCTTGGAACCTCACCAGCTTGGGCCCAGGACACACAATGAAGTCGGAAATCCCCCCCCGAGGCAGGTGAGGGGAAGGCTGCTCTTTCTGGGCACCACACCCCACCCGTGCAGGGCTGTCCCACCCCAGGACATCCATGTCCCTGCTCAGAGCAGGTGGTGAGTGTGGCCAAGTGCTCTGGAGCAAGCTGTCCCATCCAGAGCAGGAATGTAGCTGGGGAGCCCCCAGGCACCCCTCCTTCCATCACCCAGCGAGCAGGGAGAGGGTGATCCAGCACTGTTAGTGCCTGAAAATGGCACTGTCCTTGCATCCTGGGCAACGGGGAGCACCAGCCGCCCTGGGCTAGGAATCAGCTGGGAGCACAAAGCTGTGCAGGGCCGCTCCTTCTCCTCGAGCACACGCACTTCTCTGCACTCTGGATGTGTGCACAGCACTTCCTAGGGTGTTTCTGGTTCCCCATTCTGGTTTTGGAGGCAGCATTGTGGCAGTTCAGCACAGTTCAGGCCGGCTTGCTGCAACCCTGTCACACAGCCCCCTCAGTTCCTCTGGCCTATGGATGCATTAGGAGCTTACGGAGCATGTTGAGCTCTTCTCAGCTGCTCTGCCAGGATCTGTTTGCCTCTGTCCTCAGGTAACTGGGGCTGGTGACAGAGAAAAGACCTGCAAAAAGATATTGTGCTTTCACTCAAATTTCCTTTATGACCCTTCAGTACCTTGTGGCTGAGGACCATTTGCTTTGACTGACATGCAAATATTATTTTGCTTACCAAGAAAAAAAAAAGAAAACAAGGAAAAAAAAAAAAAAAGAAAAAAAAAGGGTGTCTAGATGCGGTTTTCATGGAGAAGTCATTTTGGTTTCGCTCTCTTGCTGGCCAGTGATGTTCCTGTAAGCACACAGATTTTGTGCCTGATTGCATGTCTGTGGTTTCTCTTGAACACGCTGCATAGCACTGCCACAGTGCAGCCACAGATTCCACTTCTGCATGGAAAGATGAGTTGCATCATGTTGTTAAAGCCATAACTGTCCTCTTGCAAGCCTCTAACATATGTCATCCTCCTTCCTAATATTGTAGGAGGCTTTCACTGCCTGGATAAAGTTTTCCTGGTGTATGTGCTCTTGGGCAAAATTGTGTTTCGCTGAGGATTTTGTTCTCCCTGCCTGTGAAACTGAGCCTTGCTGTGATTGAGCTCTGTTGGGATTACTGGGGGACTGCTGTGGTTGCAGATGACACTCTCTCTGCTGCTGCAGAGTGTCTCAAAGACACTAATGCTGCCTGTGTGTCTGTAACTGGCAGCCGAGCCCCATCAATCATGCTAAGCAAAGCTTAAACCCCACTGAGGATAAAAAGGCGAGATAGACCGCGCCTGTCGGCTTTGCCGCTCGCCGCATCCCGCCTCCTCTCACAGGAACTTTAAAGCATGACCTAAAAAAGGGGCAAAACGCCTGGAGGCATTTCTATCCCAGCGAGGGGAGCAGTGCTAGGTGGGACTGGTCGTTGTGCACAGGTGCCATTCAGCATCTGGTTTAACACAAGGTGGGCAGGGCTGTGATGGGCACACATCCCAGAGCTGCGTGTCTTCCCTGGGGTTTTATGTCCAGCAGGACATCTATCCTTTTATTCATCCCTTGTGGCTTGTGGCAGCTGCTCTGGCAGCTATTCCAGCTCTCATTGTGCCTGATGAGGCCAGCTGTAGTCTTTAGAAGCAGACAGGGAAAGGGTAGTAAGACAAGAAGAACTTGAAGCACTTTTCTGTGGTCTTTCTGGTAGTGGTGAATCATTGGGCGGGAAGGGGGAACAACAATTTTTGCACCTATTTTCTATTTTTAGTCCTTATTGTGCTTTCTGCCTCGTTTCCCAGTATTTCCTCTCCTCAGAGTTACCTCTAAACCGTGATTCAGTCTTGCAATAAGTTAAAGAGAGCTCTTTATAAGCTCATGGCTTATAAAGCCCATGCAACTCTCATTTTCTGCAGCAACTTTCAGTGTCCCTTTAAAACACCCCCATGCTCCAGCTCTGTGCACACTACCCATTGATGGGATTTGGCATTTGGGTGCATGGAAGGACATCAGCCTCCCTTCCCTGCTTTTCTGTTTGCACAAAGAATTGCATCTGCCCTTTTTCCCAGAGCTTCCCACTGCTGTGTTATTTGTCAGCTACAACCCCTACACCCCTTTCAGCATCACAGCTGTCCTGGATCCAGATCTGATTCTGTTGGTATTCACATGTGGATGCCCACCCGTGGTTCGTGTGAGCCCAGCTTCCCCAGCAAGGCTGCTCCAGCCCTCTCAGAATCCCAGAACTGTTAGGGCTGGAGATCATTCTGTCCAATCCCCTGCCAAGGAAGGGTCACATAAAGCAGGTGACACAGGAACCTGTCTAGGTGGGTTTGATTTTCTTGGGAGTGAGACTCCATGACCTCTCTGGACAGCCTGTTCCAGTGCCCTGCCACCCTCAATGTAAAGAAGTTCATCCTGATGTTGAGGCAGAGCTTTTTCTGTTTTAGTTTATGACCACTGCTCCTTATCCTGTGGCCAGGCACCACTGAAAAGAGTCTGGCACCATTGTCTTGGCAGCCACCCTTGGGATATTTATGTGCAGTGAGAGATGCATACACTCCTGGTGACTTCCCCTCCTCCTCCTCCTGCTTTACCCCTCCAAACAGTCCTTGTGCTGCTTATCTACTTCAGCCCCAGAGGCTTTCATTTTAAGGCCAGACCCTTGGTTAAAAATACCATCCCCAGAAAAAAAAAACCCTCCTTTTGAATTATCATCACCCATAACCAGCCCTGGCATGCAGTCAAAGATCTTTTTTTCTGTTTCTGAAGCTGTTAAGAGTGTCTTCTTCATAACTGGTTTTCGTTTCCTGCAGCAACCCCCTAAAATCAGAAGTTACCAAGTGCTGGAAAGCTGCTGTTCTCTCCTTATCTCCTTTTCTGCTTGCCTCAGGTGCTCACTGCACCTCAGCCAGCCAGTATCAGGAAGGTTCAGCAGCTGAAAGCTAATGGCCCAAATCCTTGTCATTACATGGCAGGAGAGGCAGATGCTGCTCACCAGAACTCTTCAGAGATAGCACTGAAGCAGGCTCTGTGTGTCCTTCCACATCCTGAGATGCCAAAGTATGATAAGCTGTTACCTGAAGTTTTCTCTTTCGCCTTGGATCAATTACGGATCTCGGCCCATGGATTATTCTTAATCCTGGGGTTTTTTTTCACATTCCCATTGGATCTTTGCCTCACAGTACCTGTTAGGCTTTTTCCAGGGCAGTGCTTAGGACAGTAAAATGCAGAGGTACAAAGCTGGGGAGGGATTTGCATTAGGAAATCACCTTAGATAGACCCATCCCTTTCCCTGAAGCATGGTGAAACCTCTGTGCATCCACAAACAGCTCAGCAGCGTGTCAACGAGTGGAGAGAACCAGCAGCAGTGCTGTTATACTCACCCAGAGGTGGTAAATCAGCTCATAAATTTGCAGCTGTGAGACCAGAAAACCTCACAGGAGAGATGGAGAGCAGAGATGGAGGAGGAAAAGGATGTGACAGAGAGCACAGCAGAATTTCTTGGTCATTCTTGACTAAGCTTCTTGAGTTCTTTCAAACTCAGGCTGGTGGCACAACTCTGTGTTCTGTGAGGCTCATCTCTTTTAACATTCAGGTCTAGGACTTGCCCTGACCTTGCACCCTGACCCTCCTGCTCAGCACAGGACATGAAGTCATGTCTGGTGAGCCCCGAAGAAAACAACAGTGCTATGTGGTGGCAGACTCCTCTCCTAACAGAAGTATCCAAACTTTTTTGGAGTCTCTAAACTGTGGAGGAAGCACCCATCAGCTGTTCCCACGCTAAACACCCTTGGTGTGAGGAAGATGCAGTTTGCTTCTTGTTTGAATGGATCTTGCCCCCAAATTCCAGTCACCAGAAGTCTTTACTCATCCACCTGCTGACAAGGAGAGCTTTCCAGCTGAAGGCCTCCTTGGTAAAAGGGCTGACTGACTGAGTGGGTACCCACTGGTGGATTTGCTCAGCTGAGTGATGCCTTTTTAGCTTCTGCCTCTAGGTGAAAGTTTTCCAGGCCTGAGGAAAATCTCATCTTCAGGACCTTCCTTCAGGTTCTCCACCTCTTCTTTTTTTTTTTTCTTCTTTTCAATGCTAATCTGACAGTCTCCAAAAAGTTTCAGCTATTCTCAGGAAAGCTTGTCCATACATGTTAGCCCATGCATGGATTTTAAGAGCATTTTAACATAAGTTGCTCTTCTTTACTCTCTATCAGATCAAAGTTTGTTTATTTATCACTGGCTTTGTTTCCAGACACAAGAGGCAAATATCTAATGAGCATGTTTACCTCTTCTGCATCATTGATGATGATTGAAACCAACCATCCCTGTCTGCTAACAGTTGTGTACCATGTTTACAAATTCCATTGTTCCTAAGAGATGCCAAATATTCTCATTGCTCTGATCCCATTGTCCTGACATTTTCTACTTTTAGCTACCCATGTCAGTTTGGATGAACAGTGCTCAACAAGTTTTTCCCTGTTTCTGTCAAATACTTGGGGAGGGAGGTTTAATATGTGACATTCTCCAGACCCAAACAGGGCTGCCCAACCTTCAACACTCAGCAGACAACTAACAAACCTCTCCTCACTGTGCACTCCAATGGGTGAAATTAGGCAGCAGCTGCTGCAGGGGCTCTGGGAAAGCTCTTCAAGCTGTGCTCTTCATCCAGTCCCTCTCACATGCCCCCAAATGCACAGCAACCCCCCTGCAGGCTCTGTGTCATGCCAGCATGTACAGACCCTGCAGGGAGCCCCATCCCTCTGTGCAGTTTAGCCAAGGGTCCAAGGTTTCTTTGGGAAGGGATTTTTCGCTTAGTTTTGGGATTGTTTTCAGTTTCTAACTAAAGATGCATCTCTTCAGTGTGTGACAAGGAATGAGATGACTCCCTCCTTCCCTTTCTGTCAGCCTTCTAGCCCTGCAGAACGATGAGGCAGTGCTGATCCTGTGCTACGCAGTGCTGGAGGGAGATTGCCTCTCCTCGATGCTCGCCATGGCCTGGAAGGAGATGGAGAAAAAAAACTTTGAGTTCGGAGACTCGGTAAAGACACCAGTGTCCACCTCCGGCCCCCACTGTGTGCAGGCCACCTCCTGAGAGAAGCTGACCTGGGTGACCAGGGAGGCAGGAATTCCAAGCCAGGAATATGGGAACTCCTCAGCCCCCTGTTTTGGGAGGTTCTTAGCCTCCTTTTCCCCCTGACCGCTGGATCCACCCCAGGTTTGTGACAACCTTGGGCGGCACCACTTGGACCTGTGCCCTGCCTGTGCTTTCTGCTCGCTGAAGAGGGAGCAGTGCCAGAACATCAAGACCCTGAACCGTGTTCACTGCAACTCGGGCAGCTTCTCCACCTACATCAACCCTCAGATCTCGGCCCAGCTGGGGGACGAGGAGGGCAAGGTACCGAGCGAGCTATATGTCCTGCTGCTGTATCAGGAGGAGCCTGGACTGGGAGCTGGGGAAGGGGAGGAAGAAGCATGGCTCACTTTGTCCCACCCCTTTGCAGCCCATGTCCTCAGAGACCCTGGAGGGCTACAACATGGACTTTTTGAGAGGGATGAGGTTGGAGTACTGGTGCAGCCAGATGGCCATCTATGGCTGTAAGGAGCCTGCTGTGACCCTCTGGCTGAAGGCAGAGTATGAAGCCTTCCAAAACGGGGATGGCTCAGGAAAGGTGGGTGACCATCAGTGGATGTTCCCATCCCCCCTTCTCCTCTTCTTTCACTGACCTTCATTCCCTTGGCACCAGATCTGTGACTCGAGAGGAAATCAGCATCCCAGCTACTGCATGTTCAAGAGCTACCAGTGCCTCCTGAAGAGCATCTACAACCAGAGGGTGAGAAGCAGCCACGCTGCCTTTTGCACAGCCCGATCTTCCATGGCTGACCCCTCCACAGCCAGCCCCGAGTCCCTGCTGGACTCACTGGCCCACTGCTTTTCCTTCTAGGACAGAACTGGGTGTGTCTGGGGGAGGTGGCAGAACAAATAGAGGCCCCAGCACAACTGGGGTGTCAGTGGTGGGTGAGACTTGTACAGATGAGGTGAGGGATGATATTCCTTAAGGGCAGGATCTCCCCCATCTGCTGGGAGCTTTCTAGGCAGTAACAAAACCCTAAATCACCAGAGCAGGACAGAGGACTGGCCTGTATCCTAGCAAGCACACAGCTGAGCTGCCAGTTCAGCTGGTCCTCCCCTCTTCCCCCTGGTGCCCCCATCATCCCAGCCTCCAGATGCCATCCACCATGGAGATCTATTTCCTTGGGGAAGGATGGGCAGAGGTACCACTTCCACGAACCCAGGCTCTCCTTGCAGGTGGCTCCCATGGAATGCAAGCCTTACAAGAGCTACAGGGTGCTGAGTGCAAAGGAGGGAGACGAGGAGGTGCAGCTGTGGCAAGAGATATTCCACAGCCTCTCCAAGCAGAAATCTGAAAGTTAATAAAGTTTGTAAAGACCTTCAAGATAGTCAAGGCCTTTGACCAAATACTACCATGCCCTCTAAACCATATCACAAAGTGCCACATCTACTTGTTTTTTGAACACTTCCAGGGATGGTGATTCCACCACTTCCCTGGGGAGCCTGTTGCAATGCCTGATCACCCTTTCAGTGGAGAAATTTTTTTCATAATATCCTGAACCTCCCCTGGCACAGCTTGGAGCCATTTCCTCTTGTCCTGTCACTGGTTGTCTGGGAGAAGAGACCAACTCCCACCTGGCTGCCCCCTCTTTCAGGGAGCTGTAGAGAGTGATCAGGGCTCCCCTGAGCCTCCTTTTCTCCAGGCTAAACAACCCCAGCTCCTTTAGCCACTCCAGACCCTTCACAGGCTTTGTTGCCCTTCTCTGGACTCACTCCAGCCCCTCCACGTCTTTCTTGCAGTGAGGGGCCCAGAACTGGACACAGAACTCGAGGTGTGGCCTCATCAGTGCAGAATGCAGGACCAGTCACTGCCCTCTGCTCCTGCTGCCACACTATTCCTGACACAGGCCAGGTGCCATTGGCCTTTTTGGCCACCTGGGCACAGCTGGCTCATGTTCAGCTCTGTCACCAGCACCCCCAGGTCCTTTTCCTCTGGGCAGCTTCCCAGCCACTCTGTCCCCAGCCTGTGGTGCTGCCTGGGGTTGTTCTGAGTGAAAAGCAGGACCTGGCACTTGGCCTTATTGAACTTCACACAACTGGTCTCAGCCCATGGATCCAGCCTGTCCAGATCCCTCTGCAGAGCCCTCCTGCAGATCAACGCTCCAACCCAGCTTGGTGTCTCCTGCAAACTGACTGAGGGCCCTGGATCCCCTCCTCCAGATCACTGATAAAGTTTTTACCCAGGACTGGCCCCGTACTGAGCCCTGGGAACCCCCCTGGTGACCAGGTGGATGTAACTCCACACACCCCCACTCCCTGGGCCCGCCACACAGCCGGTTTTTAACCCAGCACAGAATGCACCTGCTCAGGCTGTGGGCTGCCAGCTTCTCCAGGAGAATGCTGTGGGAAGTGGTGTCAAAGGCTTTACTGAAGTCCAGCCCACAACATGCACAGCCTTTCCCTCATGCCTAGGCAGGTCACCTGGTCATAAAAGGAGACCAGGCTGGTCAAGCAGGACCTGCCTTTTCTGAATCCACCCTGGCTAGGGCTGATTCCCTGGTTGTGCTGTGGGATTGCATTTAGGATAATTTGTTCCATAACATTCCCTGGCACTGAGGTCAGCCCGAATGAGGAGAGCCTCACTGTGGCAGCTGCTGGAACTCCTCTTGGAAACATTTCTCCAGCCAAAGGAACAGCTGAGCACTGGAGAAGGCATTTCCAGAGTCCTGTCCAGAGTCGGGGGAGGGACCAGAGACAGGGACTCTCCAGGTCCCAAACACAGCATGGGAGCAAGAAGCTTTTGTGTGCACTTTGCCTTTCACTGCAGCTGGGGTTTTTTCTCAACTTTAGTGGTTTATTTGGCTTGTGTACTCCAACCCTCCATCTGAAAAAATAACTCAAACCACAACAGCCCAGATCTGACTGCAACCCCTGCAGCTGTCTTTCTTTATTGAAGAGGTGCTGGAGGGGCAGGGAAGCCCTTCAGAGCAGAACAGAGTGAATAATTTCCTAAATCATAGGTGGGGTGTGAGGAAAAGGAGACTGCACAGAAGAATGGAGGGGAGGCTGGGACCCCCCTCCACACAGGCAGGAGCCAGCTCAGGGTAATCAGCACAGTGCTGGGCCAGGAAAGGCAGCAGGATGCAGACTCCTCTGGGAGCATGGGGCTGCTCTGTTGGGGTGTGGGGGCTGGAATGAGCTCTGCCAAGACAGGGAGAAGCCCCTGCAGCCAGGTTTGCTCCCAGCCCTTGCTCCTGCCCTTACCTCCCTCCCTGCCTCATTGTTGTGCAGGTTGATGAGCATTTGGCTGGAGGAGACACCGCGGCTCCTCTCAGGGCTGTCCACGAAGGCCTGAGAGAAGTCAATCCCATAAAACAGGTTATCAGAGCAGCCTGACCACTGGAAACCTGCAGAGGGAAAGCAGCCTTGAGACAAGGAAAGATAATCCCTGAGAAGATCTCCCAAAGATCTGTGGAGAATGAAAGTGTCTCCTTTTCAGGTCTGTCTCCCCCAAGGACCTTCCCCTCTGCCACCTTCTCCCTGCTGCCCGTTTCTTCTTCCACCTTCAGGGCTGACTCCTCAGATCTTGTGGTCACAGCCACACTTGTGCAGCTCCCCGTGGCTGCAGGCACAGGTGACAGCAAAAGCAAAGCTGGCAGCGGAGATGGCATGGATGAAAGCCGACTGCTGCGTGCCTGCAGCGGGACAAGAGATGGCACCAGGCTGCAGAGGGCAAAGGCACTTATGGGGCACAGGGTGGGAAAAGAGGCTGTCACTGCACACAGGAAGGATGGAGACTTCATGCCTTCTGATGGAGACTGCTCAGGAGAAATACATGTCAGGGTGTTCACCAGGGTGTGCGGGGAGTCATTAAGTGACGTGGCTCTGTGGCAGGGTGGGTGGCAGGGTCAGGGAGAAAATCTACCAGTCTGCAGAGGTGGTACCAAGGATGGTCCGATGGGACCAAAATGCCAAATCTGGCCAAAAAGGAAGGAGTTTCTCCAGAATGCTAATATTTGTGAGAGCGTTTGGTTCCGTTTGCTCTGTGCTGACGGACTTGTTAGCATGTGGAAGAAATCACTGGCCACTCTGGGGATGGGTCCAGTGCAATTCTGGCACACTAGGCTGATGTGCCAAGTAAGCATTCTGGAGGGACACCATGCCGAGCCTGTCTGCGCCACCCCTCCCTCGCTGACCTTGGATGGTGGCTTTGCCCAAGACCTGCAGCCCCTGCAGGGTGGAGCAGTTCCAGCGGCGAGAGTGGAACTGGTGCTGGCACTCGAGGGCAGCCAGCTCCACACCTCACTTCACCGCCTCCATGGCTTCCACCTGCTCTTCCACCTGCCCCATCAGGCCACCACAGCCCCTGGGGTCCCGGAGGGCTGCCTGCAGGGAAATCTGCTTGGCCAGGGACCTGTGGGGCAGGGGAGAGGTTCAGCTGCAGATGGGCTAGAGCCAGGGCCTCACCTCTGCAGGACTAACCTTCTCTAGCCATATCTTAAAGCAGAAATGGGGCAGGGAAAGGGCTGTGGCCATGTTGTCTACGAATCGGACATTCTTGCTGCCCATTCTGGTCTGCACTTCTTCAGCCTTACCATCCCTCTCCCTCCCTCCCAGAGATGCCCCTTCTGCTTTTTGGTTGCCCAGATTCCTCCTTCCACTCTGTTCTCACCCTATTTTCTTTGGAGACAGCACCTCCCCAGGTGGCTTTCCAACCCAGACAACACAAGCACAAAGCATACTTACAGCCAGGTCACAGCAGCGACATGCTGCACGTGGATCAGCATCATGTGCAGCCACACCAGCTCCATCCCGTCCGTGGCAAAACTTCACCACCTCCAGCCCCTGCACAGCAGCCGCCTGAATCCCCTCCTGTCGCTTCCCATGGCCTCTGCCCAACAGCGCCTTTCACAGCAGCTCCAGCACTGCGGTGACCGTGGGCTGTCCATGTGCGGTGCCTGCCAGCACTGGAGACCCTGTAGCCTGCAGAACCCTGCTGGGTTGCCCCTGCGAGGTCGTCCACACCAGTGCTACAGCTCGGGCAGCACGGTGGGAGAGCTCTGAGCTAGGGCTCTGGGGCTGGCATCTGTCACAGAGAGCTCACATGGATGGGGACATCATCTGTGTCACACCCGTGGCCTGTGCCATCCTGCCAGCAGATGATGGGGTTGTCTTCCTCCACAGTCCAGTCACTTCTTCAGCAGGAGGCAGCTCAAGACCCGCTCAGCAGCAGACAGAGCCTTCTGCACAAGAAGATCGCAGCAGCACCACGCAGCTGTTGCCAGATCTACCAGCTCGTCACCTGTGTGTCACCAAGCCCTTTGGGGAGAGAGCCTCCCTGCAGCGACAGCTCCTCAGCAGAGAGAAGACCTGCTGCCTCCCTCACCCACATCCACTGTTCTTCAAGACACTCCCTCATCTGCCTCCTCCAGGCTGGAGATTCTTCTTTTCTACCCTGCAGCCCACATAGCTACAGCAAACAGACACAGCCCAGCTGCTCCCTGGCTCTCTTAACTCTTTCCCTGGCAGGTCTCCCTTCCCCTCCCTCATTTTCTTCCCTATGAACTGTCCTTCCCCAAGATCAGTCCTTGCCCTTCTCCTAGGAGGCACAATGGGGTGGCTGCCCCCCTTTCCTAAGAGCCCCTGGGAGCCCAGGAAAATGTGAGCCATGTGACCAGGGAGCTGAAACGTCCCGGGACAAAAGACTGCCATTCCCACAGCCAGCCTGAGAAGTGCCAGCTCTTGCCAGTGACTTGGAAGGTAAAACACCTCCGCAGCCACAGGTTTCTGCTTTTCCTGTCTGAATCATTCAGAAAATGAAGCAGGGCTGTTCTGGTCCTGCTGTGCTTCTTCCATGAAGGGATTCGCCCCTTTGCTCTGCTCTCCCACACTCTGCTGCACAAAGAGGTCTGAAGAGCACTATGGTTTATCAGTCATCCTTTCAGACGTGGGCAGCCTCTCTCTTTCATCTCTCTCCTTGCCTTCCCAGCTCCCTGCATCCCTCCTCCTGTTGGGTCCTTGCTCCTGCTTTTTGGAGCCAGCACTGCGGGGTGGCAGGCATGTTGGGATCTGCAGCATCAGGGTGTAGCCTCCAACACACACCCCAGTAATCTGGTCTTACCTGCTGCTCACTCCAACAGCAGTGAGGAAACGCTGGGGCTTGAGCTGCTCTTCCCCACGAGCTGAGCCTCCAAGAGACAGCGAGGGGCAGACGCGTGAGCCCACCCGGTGAGGGGACACAACTCGTGGGCTGCTGCACCGAGACCCGAGGGGGTGAGTGAACTTGGCTGGGTGAGGATGCTGTGGGGCTCATGGGCTGGGCTGGGTGCCGCTGTGTCCTTGTCTTCTCACACATGGAAAAGCCAGGACTGCCGGGCTCAGCCAGGTGTGTGTGTGCACATGTGTGTGAGGGCTGAAGGCTGCAGGGGAGGGGGAAGTTCCCACAGAATGTGTCAGACACTCCTTAGGCAAAGGACACCCCCCGTGGCATATCTGCAAGCTTTTATCAGTAGCAACGCCTTGACGGGAACTGAAGAGACACAAAAAGCCGTGAGAACAAAGATCCCAGCAACTAGCAAGCGAGGAAAGGGGTCTGGTTAAAAAAGGGAGGCACTGAAAAGAAGCAGGGTGAACTCAGTGGTTTGGGTGCTATTGTGCCCTCCAAGGATTTATGGGCAGCCAGAACATATATCCAATGGTGCGTCATTCCCTGAATGAGTAGTCAGTAACAGCAGAACAAGGGAGGCAGGGAGTGAGAAAATCAAACACCAGCAGACAAGGGCTGCAGAGAAAGGGAGCCCACAGCAACTTCCCAGGGCAGCTGTTTGTGGGGCAGGGTGGCAGTGGGATTAGGAGTGTCGCCACGACTCGTGCCTTCTTCCAGATGTGCTGAGACTGGCAAAGCAGAAATAGGACTCGAAGCAATAGAGTGCCAGATGGGCTCTGCACGAGGTCCCTTCCCAGCTACACGTGGCAGTGCCAGTTCACAGATGTCCTGGTAAATCAGCCCTTGTACTCCCATAGCACTGTGCCTCCTGTAGCCTTGAACAGGGACAGAGGTTCATGGCAAACATGCCTTTGCTTGCCACAGATAATGACACTTCTTCACAGCCTGGTTCTTTCTGGGACCCTGCCACGTGCCAGCAGTGCACAGCTGGACCCCTGGGCAGGAGTTCAATCCCAAAGCACCCTAGCCCAGGGGAGTGACAGGACTCCAAGTCTTAGAGCGGGCTAGCAATTAAATCAACTTTGCTCTCACTTCCTGTATTTCACTTCTACCTCCTGTTTAGCAATATTTTGGGGAGAGAGATGTTTTATTTTCTCTCTGTCAGTCCTGGGGGTGGCTGAGTTAGCAAGACAAGCACGTATTTGGCACTATGACCCAGGGCAGGTCTCCTCAGTTGCAAGGACACCTGGGTACTGCTTCTTTCATGATTGCATTTGCTGTTGTAGGATGTGGTTTAGCTTATCAGCTTTTGATAACAAAGTTCATGCTTTGTAGCCAGGCAGAAGTGCATCAGGAAGTGAGAAAGGAGAAGAGTCAAACTGCAGCATGCCAGATGTAGAATCAGCCGTAGCGCGGTAGGGGACAGCTGTGATTTGGATGAAGAGCCCGCTCGGTTCTGTTCTGATCCAAGCTGCTTTGCGGGTTTGGTGCCGGGATCGAGACCTCTGCAGTGGGAGCACTCACGGAGCAGCAAGCCGGCATCCACGCTTGTCTCTTCTCCAGCAGTGAGGTAAGGCAGGCGGGAACATCTGGAGAGCCGGATGGTCTGGCACCCTGGGCACCACCCGTGAGCTGCTGTGCAGGTGCTGCCAGGCCCGACCACGGGGCCCTGGGGGACATCTGCCCCTCCTCAGCTGCCCCGTGGACAAGGAGGTGCAAGGCACATCTCTGGCTTTATTCAAACTGGGGCTTCCTTTGGGATCCTGTGATACTGAAAGCACAGGCAGCCTGCAGAGCTTACTTGCCAAGGTGCCCACCATGGGAGCCCTCTTCCATGGGATTCTCAGGAGATGAGGAGGGGTGGCATCTCTAGGGAGGAGGCAATAGCAGTGTGATCAAACCTCATGAGTTAAATACAGAGGTCTCAGCTTATATATCATGTATCTCTCCCTAAAAACAAGCTATCATAAGCCTTGAATGTCTTCAAGATCCTAATCACCACAAAAATCTAATTTTTTGTGTAGAAAAAAAGATAAAAAGTGGGATTTGATATCACCAACAGCAGGTAAAAAGCACCCACATTTATTAAAAAAATATATCTCCAATTTCTAGAGTAAAGTCGGGTGCATTTTCTGAGGTTTGACACATTTTTGTTGTTTCCTCTTTGATTTCAGATTAAGTAAGCGAGCTTATGTAGTTTGTGATTTAAGTTCTGTACCCCAATAATACATTTGCTCTCTGCATTCTTACAGTAGTCCCAAAACTCCCCATGGTTTTTAGTGACAAGCCACTGTCACAGTGAAACACTGTCCCTGCAGCATGCTCATCAGTATTTTTCCAGCTTTCTTTTTCCACTTCATTTCTCAGCCCCATACTCAGATTCTTCATCATTTTTGTAGTGCTTGGAGGCAGTGACTCCTAGTAAGACAGTGCCAGGAGAGAGAGGATTCCCAGGACCAGGCAGCAAGATGCCAGGCACACATCCCATCTCAGGGCATGCCTGCATGTTCTGGATCCTGTATGCAAGTACATTTAGGGCTTTTCACCCTCCAAAAGAAAAATGTCAAAATCCCATGGATTTTGCAAGTCACAGTCTTGGCAGTTGATGGTATTCAGGGGTTCAAATTGAAGAGAGAAAAAAATGCTTCCTCCACCTCCTGGGACATATAAGGTCAGTCACCAAACAGAGAGTTTCTTCAGGATTTAAAGAGAGGATATTGTTGTGAGGAGGGGGATTATTCAGCTGTGGTACCACTGCCTCCTTACACAGCCCACCGGTGGCTTGGGATCTCTTGGCAGCTTTTGTGCAGAGCAATGAGTACTTGGGATGCTTTCAGAGGCAGCCACAAGGAACATGCCTCTTGACTCTCAGACATTAACCAGCAAGGATAATCGGTCTCCCTGCTGCCAGCCTGCTTTACCTACCCATAGCTTTCCTTTTTAGAGAGGGACAGTCAAAGCAGGACCTCCAAAGCTCACTGGAGAAACTCTCCACACCCACAACTTCATCTTTCCAATGTCTGTGTCTGCATACCTCTCATTTCAGGCCTTGGTCACGGTATCTGTTGTGGTAAGTCTGAGACTATCAGCTTAGTATGGCTTTTCCATACCAGCACCCAGCAGACTCTTTCTTCTGTGTTTCCATCTACCCATGAAAAAAAATCCCCTCAAAAACCCCAATCTATTTTCTGCTCTCAGTGATCTTTGCTGCCAGTTTAGAACTGTGCTGTTCCATCTTGAAGGCTGAAAGGTTAGAGTGTGTAAGGAAAGACCCCTCAGAAAAGGAAGAAAATGTGATGGTGGGCAAAAAAAATGGATAGGCTTCTTTCACTGGTATTCATGTCACAAAAGCCTGGGAGATTTCCACAGCAGAAACTCACGTTATGGGAAGTTCATAAAAGGACTGTCTCTGGTCAAAACTGTAGTAGGATCAACCACAGAGCAGCAAGATGAACTAAACAGTGTCCAAAACCACACTGAAATAACTGAAGGGTGGAAGACCTGACTAATTGTGCTATAGAAACCTTTGCTTAAAACAGCTCTTAAAGACAGACTCAATTTAAGAAAAGGCTCTTGGGGGTGTTTCAGACCAGGGAGCCTGATGGTTTTGCTGAACAAATTAGTAGAAGCTATAATAAAAGAAAA